GGAGAAGTATGATGTTCAAGCCTCAGATCCCTCGAAGGGGGGAGCTCTAGATTCCTCGAAGGGGGGAGCACAAGTTGAAGTTGTTGAAGTTCCTCAGAATGGAGTTCAACGTGGTGATGTTCATGTACAAGATTGCAGAGACGGGGGAGCTCAGGATGATGAGCTTGTCAAACAACTGGAGTCATGTCCATTGCCTGAAGTTCCTTTGCAAGTTTTGGAGAAGAATCCGCCAGAGGTGGATGTGAATGCGGAGGATGTGGCAAAGCAGGCGTTTCAAAATAAGATGGCAGAACTTCAGGATGTCAATGTCAAACCCATCACCTTTGCTGTTCCTGTGAGCGATCGACGTGAAACAACAGTAATCAATGCAGTGGCTTCTCTCTACACCAGATTTCGAGCTCTTCAAGTGCCAATCTACAGGGTGAGAGTTGACCGCGCCAAAGAACTTGTGTCACAAAGATTTCGATCATGGGCATCAGCAAGAAATCTGGAAGTTCGAGTTTCTCCAGGAGATGAACCTACTCAGAACTCAACTGCGGAGATTGAGATCCAAATTCTCAAGAATGTGACAAGAACGTTGCTGCAGTCATCAGGCTTGGATGTGAGTTTCTGGCCATTGGCGTTGAGACAAGCAGCTGAACAAAGAAGCCGAAGACAACTCTCAGTACTTGGACTTCAACTACCAGCTCTACTAACATTTGGTGTTTGGGGTGTGGTTCGCAAAAAGACATGGGCCAACAGAGGAGTTCCTCTGAAGTATCCGAAGCAACGTGTGAGGATTCTTGGTCCTTCGGCGGACATGTCACCAACATCAGGAGGGTACTGGGTGGTGGATGAACGTGGCAATGGTTTTCGCACTACAGTGGTGTCGGTGCCAACCAAGTCAGCTGAGATGGGCAATCTTCAAGATCTCAATCCTGGACAAGCTCCACTACCAGATGATGGTCAACAACCAGATGGAGAACAACTTCATGAGCAACTTCCTGAAAGCCCTGGGTATGAACCGAGCATCCTTGAAGATGATGCACCGGGACCGGGGGAGGACTTGGAGTTTGAGGACATGCAAAGACTGGTGGATGGTACGATGGAGGTGGAACTACAAGAGATGGAAGAACATGCAACAGATCTTCCATGGCCTTTACCACCATTACCACAACCACCACGACGAGTACGAGGCAAACAACCACCAGCTGTGCGCGGTTTGATGAGTTCCGCGTACCAACAATGCAATGGATGTGGGTTGCAACAGCCCAGACTTAGCAAGTGTCACTTCTGCAATGAACCAGCTGTACCAGCTGGGGGGGAGTGGACCGAGATGGATGATGATGAAGTTCAAGATCAACAAGATCAACAAGATGGACAAGCTCAAGATGAAGATGTTCATCAACTACAACAACTATGCAAGGATGAGATGGCAGTCAATCATCTGGTCAAAGGGATGTGTGACCTCTGGAATGAAGAGAGGTACATGTTGGCACAAGCAGAAGAAGACCAAGACGTCAACGAATTGGCAAAATATGCCAACAGCATCCATAGCCAGTTGATGATGCTGCAGAATCAACAGCAACAGTTGACGAAAGAGATCGACAAGATGGTGCTTGGAGAGGAGGAAAAGGTTCTCCAGACCTATACGGTGGCGGCAAAAGAGGTTCGTGCAGAAGCAGACAAATGGAAGCCGGCCATCAAGGAGGAGATAGACAACCTACTGTCTACCAACACCATCATCAAGATGAGCAAGGAAGAAGTGGCATCCTTGGAGAGCTCAGGGATGGCCCTTGAGAAAATACCTGGCAAGTTGGTGGCGACAAGAAAGGCACCACTTGGAAGAAGACGAGCCAGAATAGTGGCTTGTGGAAACTTTGTTCATGGCGATCCACTTGATGCAGACTCAGATGTGGCTGCTGGAGGAGTGGATGGGATAGCAATTCGACTTTTGGTGAAGTTGGCTGCAGAACGCGAATGGTGCCTCAAGTCCATTGATGTCAAAGCAGCATTCTTACAAGCGCCAAAGAGGTCAGTCAAGACCAGGACAACACTGGTGCAACCACCAAGATTACTGGTGGAACTCGGTCTGGCACAACCAGGCGAGTGGTGGTCAGTGCAGGGAGCTTTGTACGGCCTTGTAGGGTCTCCGAAAGATTGGTCAGTGCATAGAGACCAAGAGCTGCCGCTGTTGAGGTGGAGCGTTGATGGGGTACAGTACAAGCTCGTGCAAACGGAAGAGCTACACCTATGGATGGTGACCCCAGTGGAGATGACGAGCTCTTGGA